TAAAGAAGACGAGGTAATCAAGAAAACTAACGTCAAGGTGATCTCTCCCGAGGCTGTAAAATGTTTTCGCTCAATGTTTCCCAGCGTACGCTCACAATGGAGGCTGGTGCGCCAGCACCCGGCTGTTCCTCTATTCGCGACTCCAGCAAAACGGACGCCACCAAGCGGGGAAACTGGGAACTGGCCGGTCCAGGTCGTCTCGCGAGCCGAGCACAGCCGAGCAGCTGAGCTGGTCCCAGTGTTCTCTTGTTTTCGGGTTGTGCGTTGTGCTGTTGGCTGTCTTTCTCGAGATGGCGACGAACCAAGAGTTCTGCTGCGTTCCCCAGTGCTCATCCGCGCGGTGGAAAGACAATGCGTTGTCCTTTCACCACTTCCCCTGAGAGAACGAAGTGCCCGGAGGTCCGCCCACTCCGACGCGCCGTCGCAAACTGAATTTCCTGATTAAGGATCGGGAAAAAAAGTCTTAGGGACGATGGTTGTTTGCTCGAAGCACTTCCAAGATGAAGACTATTTCTTACCCGGTAAGTGATTATTTTTTTACGGGGACGTAAAGTATAGAGTGACTAATAACAGACTTTCAGATGCACATACCTCAAACCATGTCGTGGAAACTACCACCAACGTAGAGGTGGGTTCCTAGAGGCCGCTTAATAATGTCATGCACAACATGTAGAGCTGTGGGGAAAAGAGTATGAGGTGCTTGAGCTTGGGAGAAAGGCGATACGAGATGCTCGCGCTTGATATTTTAGCTCGCGCGTCCGCTTGCAGGCTTAATCTAATCGATGTGTTTGCCTTCCCAGGGTCTGACTATGTAGCTCGATTCAACCATCGAAGCTGACCACCGTTCCGACTTATTTTTTGGGTTGCCTCAAGCTGAAAGGGTCGTCGAGCGGACCGAATCAGTTAATCCATTTTCTCGATTATCAGGGCACACCGGGCGTGCCTCACGGCCGCTTGGCGCACAGGCTCACAATCACCCGCGCTTCCAAAAGTTGCTTGCTTTTACGTTAGTTGTTTTCTTGCTGGCGTTTTTTTACATTAAACGCGATGCTGTTCTGCCGCAGGTGTAGCGTGCCAGAAGCGACGTCTCAAAATGACAGCAGTGCCCAGCAAGTTTCTCCCTGTGCCTTCAATGCATGACGTCCAGAAGAAATGTTTGTGTGCAGGATGAGGAATCATTCCTCCCATAAGCTGTGGTGTCAGAAAGCATTGGCCGCATCTGTCTAATTACCAGTAAATTTCGTTGAAATTCGATAGCATTGTACCGATTGAACGACATATCCGCAGATTTTTTGATGACACCACAGCGAGCAATGCGTGTACTGGCAGGGCTCGTTCACAAAGCAGAGCCTGAAGCTTTGCATATTCCCTCCTGGAGAGATCATGCTCACAACAGACATGTGCCATGGATACACCCTGTTCACGTCACTATTAAACCAGAGATAAACGCAGACTGCGCATACAACACCAAACGGATTCTTGACGAAGCCGACTTCAAAGAACTTGTTGGTCACAGCAAATCCCTGCAAATCAGTGCCGTTTCTGGTAGCCATGTTTTCTAGATGCATTCAATGCCCTCAGCTGGCACTTGGTCATAGCAGCACGAATCCCCTTGTCTTTATTTCACATATTTTTAGTGTCAGATGTTAGGTCCATGGTCCCCAGCGATCGCATAGTTTGGCAGTGTCCGCTGCCCCACCCCCCACACTTACCTCCTGACAGTGTCCGTGGCTAAGCCCATGTCCCCCGGAGATCGCTACATTTGTCGATGTCCATTGCCACCCTCACATGCCACGTTGCCTGCCCCCCTCCCCCCCCCCCCCACTGTCAGCTGTTAAGCCCTCACTCCTTGCAGACTGCGTCATTGGTCGGAGTCCACCGAACCCACACCACAAGTCCTCTCCCCAAACTGTTTTTTTGTTTCCGTGGGGGACACACTCCTTTTGCTACACCTGCTGGGAGAGGGTTACGGCACCCCAGTTTGGATGTGGCGCCTGAAAACAGGCAAGTCATGGTGGAGGGAGCAACCAAGGCCTTTCTGCAAATGTTCCGGGAGCATGCCCTATTGGCTATGCGTCTACTGTGCCTGTGCCGAACTGCAACCTTCATTCACACTTTGCATGTTCACAGGTGCTGACGCTGAACATCACGCTATACAGAGTCCAGATCATTGCGCAGTTTTCTACCTCCTTATTACCTTTCCCTTACAGAAAGTAGTAGGTTAAGACAAGGTCATTGGAGCAGCTTTTTTCTCTCCCCTAATAAACCCCTTTCTGTCCCCCACCGGTCACCTGCGAAAAGTGCGAGAGCACTGCCAAGACAAAGATGCGGATTCCAACAGCAATACAAGGGACGCCTACACACCAGCTTGAAATGGAGATAGCACATTTGCTGGCCACATTTTGCCACGCAAACGCCAAGGTAGTCACATTCTACATGTCTTAATAGTCAGAGCGACCAGGGAACCTTTTGGAATATTACTTATCGCATATCACATTGCAAGGCACAAGAGAACTAATACATGCGAGCAATGAGTCAGGACAATTCTTTCTCCACATTGAATGCCTGCCAGGTCTATCAGTTTGCTTTGTTTAGAAATGGGCCTATGCAGGCACCTCAGGTGGCATCAGTTCTTTCTTTTCTGGTAATATCTCGCCCATTTCCGACTTCAAGAACGAGGGTGCTGAGGTGATCAGGCACTCCCCAAGACATGCATGTCTGCATCGGTGTTGCCTTTGCCAATCGTCTGTCGTTGCTGTGCACGACGCATGCTAGGGTGGATTAAAGCACTCTAAGCGGGAAGCTCTAGCAAACGCGGAATGGGACGAAGAAAGATTGATTGCGCAAAAAGCACTTGTCTGGCAGGCATTCACTATAAAGAAAGCTTTGGTCAGGAATGTAATCTCCGCTGTGGTGTTCCCAAAGGCAGCCCTCGAAATTCAAAGTTTTTCAGATAAATCCGAATTGACGGAAAATGTATCGGCGAGTGTTTTTCGGATTTTTTTCTGATTTATCCGAAAATCCGGAACCCTAGATGTGAAGTACACAGCATGCAAGTAAGACAAAAGCAGCAGACAGGGCGAGCACTGAGTGCTCGTACTGTCTGCCCATTTTTTTCTTGTCTGACGTTTTTTGCACGCTGAGTACTTTATATTGCACGTCTTGTGTATTATGAACACTAGTGATTATGGTGAAATAATCACAATTTAGCAAAGTCAAGCAGAAATCTCTCTTAGACGCCTTGATGTGACTGTTTCCATGGATCTTACTGTACATCACTTCCCAGGTCGGCTCTGAAATGACTTGGGAGAGGATGAGGGCGTCAGCACTGGCGACATGTATACAACAGCCGAGATGGAAGCGGCACGACTACTGGTCTTGTTCGGCTGTCCAGATCACAATAAAGAGATGCGGCCACAAAAATTGTCCTCCGCAGAAGTTTTTGTAAATAAAGCGGTAGAAGTTTGCTCTGGTGATTCTAGAACCAGGTTTGTCGACGTTCTGTCGGCGCAAAACATTAATGCTCTCACAGGTCTTGTTTCAGTGGAACTGCTGGAGACATTGACAAAATGTGCTGCGATACTGCCACCTCCAGCTAGCGGCACTTCCATGAATCACGGAGAGAGTAAGCGCCTGCGCACAAAAAACGGATGCATTGTTATGATAGTGTGTTTCACCCCCTTTCTTGAATTGTAATACCACCCGTGGTGTTTCTATTTCTTAATTTTTTTGTAGTGTTAAAACTTGGTCGTGATAAGCAATCTGCCAATGAATGCGCTTTCCGAACAGCTAATTCCGCTGTGCATTTTGCGTGTTTCGGCGTGATCCACACATGGCAATCATGCCGAAATGCACAAACCGCTCAGCGGAATTTGACGTTGAAAAAGCGCAGTCCACTGCAGATTGCTTATCACAACCAGCTTTTCCAACTATCAAAAAAAAAAGCGCCGCGGGTGGTATCACAGTTTAAGGATGGCGGTGATATACACACTATTGTAACCGTGCATCCATTGTTTCTGCGCAGGCGCTTGCTCTCTGTGGTTCGTGAAAGTGCCGCTAGCTGGAACTGGAAGTATCGACCGGTCAACGGACGCCTGCGCACACTCAAATTGCGGACGACTATGCAAGAGAATGCACACAGAATTATTTGAAATGACACTGTATGTACTCAACAGACACAAGACACATTTATATACACTTTTTACAGTAGAGATATGCAGAGCCTCGCTAAACACGTTCAAGCAGTTTGTGCAGGACCGCCTTCTTGTAGATTGTTATCATTTGGCCACAAAGCTCCTCAAACTGTGACTGTTCAAACGCAAGCTCACACAGTAGATACCCCTGTCGAACTGCCTCTGATTTTTTTTCCCTTGCTGGTCTCTCCCTTTATTTCAGTCCAAATGAAGACATGAGCTTTAGTGATGCCCATGATCCCCATTTGGACATTTACCTGCGTTTTGTATTCCCGCTTCAAGGCACGCTTCTCGAAGTTGGAGAACGAGTTTTCGAGCTTAACGGGACATTTAACTTCCAGCAGAATTACCTCACCTTCACAGCAGGCACATGCACAGGTTACAACCCCATCAGGGGAGCAGCCCAGAATGGGCACATCCTTTGAAAGGCTAAAGCCTACTTCCTTGAGGCTATCTAAGTGCCCTTGGCTTGCCGAGAAATCCCTATAAGCCTTCTTTGCTTTACCCTCATTTTCCACACCTGCCTTCATGGCAGGTGTGAAGACGGAGGACGTCCTTAAAACTAAATTAAGGAACGGCTGTATGTTGGCGCTAGCATCAGACCGCAAAAAAGTTCTGGCACGGGTGAAGCATGAATGCGCAATGCTAGCAGTTACCACACCTTTCCGATAATCGTGCCACTTGGACGAAGACGCTTGGCCCCGAGTGGCGGCCTCTATTTTCTTCAATGCCTCGTCAGAGCCATACATGGTGCTTAGCCCATCCGAGGATTTCTTTGCAACTCTTGTTCGACAGGGGTTGCTTGTTCTTCTGTAGCAGTACCAGTAGGGGAACTGGGGTATCGTCATCTAAAGAGTAAAAAACAATACTGACATCAAAAAGGTGGTGTTCGGGTAGCATCGGCACTGTTAAACATGTGACGGCTAACAAGTAAACAAAGATAAAAAAGCAAGCTCCCGTACCTTCTTCGTTAGACGTCGCAACTCTAGGACGTCTTCAGCGCTTCCTGAAAAAAAAAATTGCGGCTTTAACTTTTATTGTTTTTGGACATCTTACTCGTGAATTAGAACACAGCTAAGAACACAGCCATCTGCCTGGTTGACAATGCTAAGAGCATGTGCTGTGCTCCGATTTGTTGATTTCTGCTACTGGCTACTAACGAGAACCCGAGGTCTGCCATTGAATTGACTGTTACTGAGCGCAATCCAACCGTCGACTCCTGCTTGTGTTCACTCAGTGCGGTGCAAGAGACATAATGTGCCAGGCACTGCTTGGGGCAGGGCGGATTCTGGCGACGGTGAGAAAAGAAAAATTGCCTTTGTGATTTTAAAACAGCGCGACAATACAGGAACAAAGAGAAGACGAGTCAGAAGACAGCGCTCAGCACTGTGTTGTCGTTTCTTTGTCCCAGTCTTGTTCAGCTGTTTTAATATCACAATGATGACCAACCAACCAGTCTGTCAAAAATGGTCTGCTCTCTTTTTTGCATTCTTAAAGAGAAAATCACATTTATGGCTATCTATTTATAACCCACAAATCGATACACACACACTGTCTGAATGTGTTGTTAATTTCCAACAGCGAGAAAGTAGTAGGTACATATTCAACAAAAAAATGTGGTGTAGAATTATGGTAATTTGGCAGAGTGACTCTTGGTGCGCTGACTGACAAGGCTGCCAGGACGAGCCAGTTTACTGTGCAGCGCTATACTGAACTGCATTCTGTTTATGAGCAGTGGTACCAAGTCATATATTTTTATACTGTCACTACCATTGACATTTTGTAAAAAGGTAGAAATGGCATGCCAAATACAAAAAGTTCCGAGACTCATTTCCATGGTACGATTTCGAGGGTTGCATTGGTCATAATTGTTTTGCTGAGCTTGTCGAACTCTGTCAAGTCACGGGTATGGTTCGAGTGGAATAAGTGAAGAAGATGATGCAAAACGCTGGGAGGAAAGAAAAAAAGGGGTATGCGGGTGGAGCTCCAAGGAGAGGGCCGAATCGTTCCCATTCAGCTGGAGCACGTCGTCTTGGCTGGGAGGCACTCACTTAATCGAATGACATTTTAGCGAACGCCCACGTTTCACTGAACGACACTTTAGCGAATAGTCGGATGGGTGGGCCAAGTGGGTTCGCATTTTTGTAATGAGCCGCCGTAGACTGTCGCCGCAGACTGTCGCCGCAGACTATCGCCGCAGACTATCGCCACGAAGCGGCGTAAAGCACAGCGGAGCGGATGGGTTAACGCGCGCCCCCGTTATTCGCTAAACGTCGATTCGCTCAATTGTCGCTGTTCGCTAAAACATCATTCGCTCTTGATATGGACCCGGTCTTGGCTACACCTCAAGGCATGGGGCCCAGCAACTTGTGTTACACCATAGGCCCGGTAACCGAAGTCCGAGCTTCAAGGCGTCATTAAGGAAATGTGACCCACTTCACTCCGAGGCTACCGAGATTGGGGACCTGTGAGCGATTCTTCTAGAATTTCACACCGTAGGTCTGTTCGATTTGGCCATAAAGTTCCTAACTAGTCCAGTCCTAATTCAGAGGAGTGCAGGGTTTACTTAGTGGTGGCGGAGAGCCGGTGTAGCCGCAGCTTGTAACTGGCAGTGTAATCTACCATCGGGACGCTGCACGAACGCTGAGCTGACCTTGGAGCCGTAAGGCCGTGACAATGTGTGTGCAAAGTGCACATTTTTCCTAGCTTTCTGTTTATGTGATTATGTAAAGATGTAATCACTTTCACGCAAGGTTGTGTGATCACATAAGGTTTTATGACCATGCAAGGTTATGCAATGACATAAGGTTACATACTCAAGCACAGACGCACACAGCATCGACCACTCAAAGTGACAATTCATATAGATGCTACCATATGTAAAAAGCGGATTGGCATGCATTCCCACCGATGTTCCTCCAAGGCAGAGTCTGGACACGCCCTTCGCAGACTGGCTGAGAAGGCAGCAAGCTCGCTCTTGGTCAGCTCCACAGTTGCGACAGACTTCACGTGGCAGAATTCTTTAAGTGGCACGGGGTGGTACATTTCTTTGACGTCCTTTTGTCGTGCTGACCACTCGCAGGCTAGGTCGGTGCAGCTGAAGTCGGAAGAGAGGATAGTCCTGTCCTGCAGTACTATTCAGACATACTTAGTACTGCAGTTGCACAAAAACACAAACATGACTATAGTTCTAAGAAAACCGTGGGCGTAATCGTAAGTTCAAATATTTTCCGCCTCCTTTGAAGGGTTGCATTTCTTCCTGGACGCCAGCACAATCTTGCTTGGTCAGTGTCGACAGCAAGTGCGAAACATTAGATCAAAGCAAGAGGAATTATATGAAGTAGCAGTACAACGGACTCAGTTGCATCTTAGTCACGTCGCCTTGATTTTAATTCATTGGAATACTTTCACGAGACTGCCAAGTGTAGAGGACAACAGAATATGTCGTTTCTAATGTAGCATTTGAAAGACTCACAGTTCCGATCGTTTTGTGCGGTCAATTAAAAACCGCACCTTCGTGCAGTCTCTCTTAGTTAAATGTTGTTCCGCCGATGGATTACTCAGGCTAGGTTATCACTCGGGAAGCGCGCCGCACATGCCCGACCGCTCAATCCATCATTAACGTCCACCTGACTCGATTCGTAATGTCCGATTGCAAATACTGAGATTATTTGGCTGCCTACGTGCTTTAACGCCAAACACTATTTGAGGCGCACAGCGGAGGTTAGCGTACTTTAAATTTGCAACTTACCTGTAGCAATGCAGCAGCAGCGCTGTCGTGTGCTTACACTTTTTAGACTGTCCGGCCACGCAGGAACAATCGCTGGTTATTTGCACGACTTTCTTTCGGGCGATTTCTAGTTCTATCCCAATCTGATAGGGATCTGCCTGGAGCCCCGACGTCTGGAGGCAGAGGCCGCACACTTTCACTTTTTCCACGCTTCGTTGCGTAGCGCCAGCGAGCACTACATGACCGACTTTCGAGAAGCTTCTCGCCTTCTGTAAAACACCTCGATGAAACCTCGCACTTCAGAAAACCGAGGATATCGGCCAAAGTCAATGATGTTCCCGTCGAGCCATCGCTAAAGGTCCTGTCCGGGGCCGCCATTTTGGCTGCGGGGGAGCGGGGAACGGGGGAGGGTAGAGGGACCTTCGGGGTGGGTGGGGAGTGTGACGGTGACGACCGCGGACGGCACCTAGCGGCGGAACGCCGAACCTGTCGGTCCAGGTTGTTTTGGGACCTTAATAGGTGGGAACAGCGCAGGAAAAACCGACGAAGGACGAGTAGAAGAAGTGCACAAACACAGCGCTGACTAACAACTGAATGTTTATTTTCAAGCGAACCAGAAAGTAAACACTGGGTGTGGAGAGGAAAAAACACAGAAGCCAATAAAAAGGAGGGAACCCGATAAAACAAGACACTACCACGCCATACCACTTTCACACACGTCTGCCACAGTTCTTGATAAAAAACACTTCGTCAGCCCCCAAGTTAACCGACGGAGCACTGACGCATTCTTCCTCCCCCCTTGATAAAATATAAAAGGCCTCATCAATCTCCCGGGCAGTCTTGTTTTTGTTGCGCGCCAAGATCGTCAACTCATTGAACAGGGGAACACAGCCGCACCTACTACAATGTACCGCAAGGTGGCCGCGCCTTGCCGCCAGCGCCGGCAGTGTCGTCTGCTCGTGCTACATTGTTTACTGTTCTCGCGTGTGGCACGTTGTACGCCGTAGCTCGCAAAGGCATCCGAAACCAAGGGGAAAACGTCGAAGGAGTTCTGTTGTGTTCCCCAGTGCTCGTCGGCGCGGTGGAAAGACACTGCAGTATCATTCCATCGCTTCCCGGGAGCAGACGAAGCCTCTGGATCTCCCCTTACGCCAACACATCGTCGCAGGCTTTGGGTCGCCAAAGTAAGGATTGGAAAGAAAGTGTCGAGGACGATAACCGTCTGCTCGAAACACTTTCATGAGAGTGACTACTTCTTACCTGGTAAGTGCTTTATTATTCGATCGTAATTATCAGTACTAGGAAACGGAACGGCAGATGACACAGACTGTAACTGTAACGTTACTGTAACGCGCTAGTTCTCGCAGCCGCGTTGGCCGCGTCTCTGAAAGGGCTAGGATAGTTGTGGTGCACATAGTGCTATCGGAACGCATTTGGCGAGAAGCAAACGCGCGGAACTTGGAAGCAAGACCAGGGCGCGACACGAGACGCTCGTACTAGAGGATCGAACTCGGCGCCTGTCGCCGCCTTCATTCACTTTATCTGCCGAGCGTTGAGTGCGTTGAAACAGGCATAATTTTTGCGATTATAACTTTATAAGATATCGGGAAAGGTTTTCCGGCGTACCTGCAGAGTACAAGTTCGCTGACGTCTGCACAACTTAGCGTTAGCGAACTGCACAAATTCAGTAACCTCAACTCCCTGCTGTTTCCAAGGCTTGGGCCAGAATCATGCAAAATTCAAAGCACCTCCAGCCTCGTGAATCTCCGTGCTTCCAAAAATTTGGCTGCTCGTTTCTCAGCTGGCGTTTACTGCGCTAAATGCAATGTTACTCTGGCGCAGGTGTAACGTGTGCGAAGCGACGACTAAAAAGGACAGCAGTGCCAAGCGAACGTCTCCCTGTGCTCTCGATGCACGATGCACACAAGTTGGCTCGAGCGCAAAGGCTGCGTGCATCAAGGTCGGAGAGACAACAGCGCCGTGCCGAGGCTGCCCAGGCAGCGCAACTGCGCATACATGTAAGTAGTACATTGCTGCCCTCATCAGGGCCCATCTGTGCCTGCAAGAGCGTGGAAAAGTCTCTGGAAACGTTAGTGGTACTTATCTACACCTATACATCACTCACTTCCCATTTTAGGTCAACTGTAAAAACTGCAAAAATGTTCCTTATAGAGATGAGGACCTGGATCACAACAGCAGCTTTGGGGGTGCCGTCACACCAGTTGAGATGGAGGTGGCACATCTCCTGGCCACGTTTGGCCATGTTAACACCAAGGTTGGTATTATTGTATTCTTGCTTGACATGTTGACCCTGACACTATGGCAAGCTTTTGGCATGGGTAAGGTTTCAAAAATCATTTATTCTAGCTATGGTTGCAGCTCTCACAATCGGCAGTAGATCGGTGGAAAACGATTTGACACATTATCAGCTCTCGAAGCGGGGTGCTCACTCCCAGTGGCATCCTGTGGAGGGTACATCTGATGTGGGCAGTGTTCCATAATTGACACAGTTTGCTCCAAGTTTAACATTTTGTACCTTGCCGTCCATAAACCTACTCGCATTCAGGATCAGCCCGTGTTGTCACGTCATATAACCCACTGTAGTAGATTCTGAACACAACCGTGTGGTTTAATCAACTCAATGTTTAACTTTGCTGGTTTGAAAGTTTATTTGATCACAGTACGTTGAAGGGTTTGAACATTGTCGAAAGTTCGAAAATAGGCGAACTTTTCAAACGTACGGTTCCAGAAAATTTTGCGGCAGCATCATAATGCCTAAGGATCATTTAGCGAATGAAATCCAAGAAAATGTTTTGAACTGCCTTCAACATAACTGTTTTATAAACCTTATTCCCTCCAATATTTTTAATGTATCCTTATCTACCGTTGTGCATCACTTCTCATCCCAGGCCCACTGCGGAAGTCTTGCCAGAGAAGACGAGGATTTACATTCCAGTAGCAGAGCTCTTGGATACACAGAAGCCGACATGGAAGCAGCGTGTGTGCTGGCCACCTTCAACCACGCAGCTAAAGCTCAACAGACAGCATTGTCCACAAACAGTTATGTTGACAAAGCTGTGGAAGTTTACACTGGGGATTTTGGACGGAGATTCACTGATATCCTGTCAGCAGAAAACATAAATACATTGACAGGCCTCACTTCGATGGAGCTGCTGGAGACACTGACCGCATGTGCTGGCAAATATTACGAAATCACTGCAAGGCACCATATGTCCCTAAAGGAGAGATTGGTCGTATGCATGATGAAGATGAAACATAACACTTCTACAACATTTCTGGCTGCACAGTGACTAAGTGCACGGACGTGCTAGTTACTCTGATACCCATTTTGGGCAAAGTTTTGTCCTCGGTGCTAGTGCTCCCATCAAAGAGCGAAACACTCATGAAGGTGCCCACCTCTTTTGACAAATATCAGAACGTCCGTCTCGTGCTTGACTGCACTGAGGTTCCCGTCGCACAGCCAAGGTGTCTCAAATGTGAATTGCGGATGTATTCTTTTTACAAGAAAGGGTTCACTTGTAAATATATGGTGAGTGTAACCCCGGGGGGTCTGATCGCTCATATCAGTGCAGGGTATGGGGGTCGAGCCTCGTATAAACACATCTTTGAGGAAAGCGGGGTGGTCGACCTGCTGCTTCCGGTAATTGACAACGTCATGGTTGACCGGGGCTTTTTAATTGACCAAATCTGCGAGGACAGACTGATTAAAGTAATTCGGCCACCGTTCAAAAAACAACGGAAGCAGATGAGCCGCACAGATGCTCTGGACACCCAGAGAATTGCGTCTGCAAGGGGGTACGTCGAACGTGTCATTCAACGCATGAAGATATTTAAGATCTTGAGCACAAAGGTCACATGGAACATGGTGCCCCTTCTAGACGACATCATGATGATTGCGGCAGGTCTGACAAACCTCTCGGCACCAATCCTTGCACCAGAGAGATTTCTTTAAAGTGTGGCTGCTCGAAGCCGGCCTATCGCATGACTGAATATCAACTCTGCTTCATCTAGGGTCTCAGAGAAACAACGTGCCATGCTGTGTACAAGGTGTCTACCGAATTACCTCTTTCAGAGTCCCTAACTTTTCCAGGTTTTTTCTATCTTAGTTAAATGCCCCGGCCATTAATTCGATTGGATTAGTGTTTCTTAAACCAAAAAAGTACTATTTGGTCTACTACTGGTCAAACGAACCAATAGCAACTCTTTCCTTTTAACTAGGTGGTGGCTTGAGCTGCTTCGTGATGTTTCGGACGATATTAGTTTGCATGGCCGTGCTGATGCGCGACTCTCAGGTGTCATCGCACACCGCCGTGCATCTTTTATGGGTCATCTTTCCTGATTTAGTCAACTTTCTGATGATTTCCCTGATAATTACCTGTGTTTTCTAGGTGATCTTTCCACATTAGTAGCCACTGTGTACAGCTTTCTTGAGCAAAAAAACGACTATTTTGCTGATGAAAACATTTTTGCAAAGAGTATGTCGCCGATGTTTGCTGTGAAGCCTATGTTACAGAACGGAATGTGAAAAGCCGGTCCCTGTATAGGCGGTAACATCATTATGACCCGACAGCTGTAGTTGATCACGGTTGTTTTTGCATTTATTGCAAACATCTGAGCTTGTGGTAAAAATATTTGGTATATGGTATGAGATTTGATATTTGGTTTTTTATTCTTTGCAAGAGAACTACTATTCCATTTCCTTATTTCTCGAATAATCAGCCATCATCCTGAATTGTTTGTAATTGAGCAGAGTTACCCCTTGAAGACAAGAAATGTGAGTTGTGATTAGATTGCGAGAAGAATGCCTGTGAAACTTCTGAATAAAGATAATTCTGCTTAAAAGCATTGCACACTAATTTATTTTAGCATTCAGATTACAACATAGTATGTTCAAACACGCTCTTGCAAACTATTTGGAATGGCACTGTATGTTCTCAACACAAACATTTTTATAAACTTTTACAGCAGAGAAACACATATCCTCGCTGCACTCGTTCAAGCGGTTTGTGCAGGACCGCTTTCTTGTAAATTTCTATCGTCTGGCCACAAACCTCTTAGGTACTGCTTGTTCTTCTGCAGCAGTGCCAGTAGGGGGACCGGGGTATCACCATCTAAAAAATAAAAAAACAATACTGACATAAAAAAGGTGGTGTTCGGGTAGCATTGGCACTGCTAAACATGTAATAATAATAATAACCTTTATATGCAAAGAAGTTTTATCCCGGGTGGCTTGCTCAGCTAGAACAGAAAGGCGAAAGCCCGTACGCTTGTGCGTCTGCTAGCCAACCACCCGGGGCAGGAAAAAGCAAGGACAAAAACATAACAAAAAAATGATAACATATCTACACGCTAGAGAAGGGATCGCGAGAATGCGCGTTGGAGGGTGGCTGATTCTGTCCGGTCGGCAGGGAGGGGGGAACGAACAGACAAGGGGGCGGCCAAAAAGTCCCTAAGGGCGGTCGGGAGCGCAGAGTTGGTATGGCACACAGTACGTGCAAGCTGTGTGTCTGGCTGGCCGAATCGCTTCCCTATTCGGATGTAGGAACCAAGGGGAGTACCTACCATAGACCCGTCGAGCAGCCGACACAGTCCGGCGGTGCCGGAGACTCTGCCACCTAAGAGCCTTAAGCCGAGCCTCGTACGGGGGTGGAGGGGCACGCCGGCCCAGCATGCGAAAGTAGAGAGTCCGGGTGGCCCGACGTTGCATGCCCTCTAGTCTGTCCACCAGGTGGGCCTGAAAAGGGCACCATACAGAGCAGCAGTACTCGATCCTAGGCAACAACAAGGCAGTATACAGTGCACGAAACGTTTCAGGCCCCAAGGCCCTTGATACGCGGGTAACAAAACCGAGAGTTTCGCGTGCCTTTGAGACAGTGCTGGTGATGTGCTGAGAGAAGTCAAGAGAAGAAGAGAAGACAACTCCCAGGATAGGAAGCGACTGAACGACGGCATTCGGAGCACCTGACAGGGAGTAAGCTGGGAGTGAAACAGAACGACTGTTGGTGATGCGCATTACAGCACTTCCCGATAAGCCAGCTGGCTTATCGGGAGGTTGTTGATTTTAGCCCAGCAGCCGATCTGGTCCAGGAAGTCCTGGACGCCCGACACAACGAGGGGCGATGTTACTGGGGCCAGAATAGTGGTGTGATCTGCGTATTGGACAAGCAGACATTCGCTAGATGTAGGCATGTCGTTGACGTAAAATAGAAAGATGGTGGGCCCCAAAACTGAGCCCTGGGGTACCCCAAAGGTGACAGTGAAGTTGTCAGAGACCTCGCCATGAAACAGCAAGCGCTGAGTACGGCCAGTTAGAAGGTGGCTCAACCAAAGTAGTAGGGAGCCGCACACCCCGTGCTGTGCAATTTTCTGAAGGAGGATGGAGTGGTCCAAAGTGTCGAAAGCATTGCACAGATCCAGTTGGGCCAAGTCTGTCGGCGTACGGTTGTCCATATTGTTACTCACATAGTGTGCGACAGTAGCAAGGGCACTCTCGCAGCTTCGGTTAGGTCTAAAACCATGCTGGGAAGCAGAAAGAAGATTATTATTGTCCAGAAAACGGAGGAGGTGCTGATTAATTACACGTTCAAAGGTTCGGCACAGGATGGAAGTGATTGAAATTGGCCGGTAGCTGGAGGGATCGTTGACAGGTTTTTGTTTGTTCTTGTGCACTGGGATCACAAAGGCTTTCTTGCAGGGGGCGGGGGCGTAAGCATGGTCCGCGAAAGATTGGAAGAGATGAAGCATAGGGAGAGAAACATAGGGGTACAGTGCCTGGAGAAAGGTAGGGGCAATCCAATCAGGCCCAGTGGAGTGAGAGGTCTTGATAAGACGCACTGCTTCGTGCAGTTCATCGAGTGACATTTTAACAGCTTTTAGTGTGACAGCTGGGGAAGGCACGGAGGCCTTGAGGTGCTGGATGATGTGGTCAGGGTAGGGAGAAGGAACGCTGGAATTGAAAACCAAAGAAAAATGGGAGGCGAATAGTTGGGCAATGTCTTTGGGCGACTTTATGGGTCGGTTGCCAACGGAGAAACAGGGTTGCTGTCGACTGGACCGAAGTCTGTTGAAGAACGCCCAGAACAGTTTCGGGTATTTTTCGCCTTAACAGAGATGGTATGGGCGTAGTCCATGTGGGCCCGGTAGATGGCAGCTTTGAGCGAGCGCTGTAGATCTTTGGCTTTGTGGAGGGTCGTGCTACAGTTTAGGCGAGCAGCAGGCTTGAAGAGAGCACGTTTACCACTGGCCATTTTTTGATATCTGGAGTAATCCGTGGGGACCTCTTTCTTTGTGAACAGCGAGACTTACTTGGCACACATTCCTTTTGGATAGCATCCACAAAGTCGCACCAGAGTTCATAATTATCAGAGCAGTCCTCACCCATCGTGAGACACCAGGGGGCAAGATGCGCTGTGCCATATGGGCACAGTCTATCTGATAAAAGTTCCACACGGTACATGCAAAGTGACCTTTTCGGGGGAGGCTTACTGCATATTCAACCTCTACTGCGCGATGGTCACTACCGGACACACCAGGATATACTTTACAAAAGAGGATCCTACTTATGTCTGGGGTGAACACGAGGTCGAGAAATGTCGGGGCACGGTCTTGTACTTGATAGCTGGCAGAGCGGCACACCTGCTGCAGGCCGACAGCAGATATGACGTCTAGGAGGACGTCATCGATGTTGTCGATGGGAGAAGGCTCTTCGTGGCTCCACCATTCAATGTGAGAGTTAAAATCTCCCAGCAGGATCACGTCTCTGTATGTCTCAAATCTCACACGGGAAGGCGAGGCGTCTAGGAGGGTTTACGAGACCTCACGGCGATTGGGTGGGCAGTACACACAGGCGAGAAGGATTGGCCCCCGCGGAAGGACTACTTCAACGAAGACCGCCTCGAGACCTGGGGACTCAAAGTCATCCCTGCGGTTCACAGAGATGCTGGATGGCGTGGCGATGAGGACGCCCCCCCCCCCCCCCCTTTCCCCCCTTGCCACTTCAGTCCTTCCGGAAAACTGCATAAGTCGAGTCAAAAAGCTCACTGTCCTGAACGCCGGGGTCGAGCCAGGCTTCGGATAGGAGGATGACAGATGAGCGAGGGAGAGACTCAACCGTGGCCTGTAGGTCGATAACCTTGTTTTTGATGCTGCGGCCTTGTGCATTGGCTGGCTGGGGGCGAAAAAAGGTTGCCGTCGAAGGGGGGCAATGCGTAAACACCGCAGTACCATTTGGCGGGAAATGCAGTGAGTCGCCTGTATGCTGTGAGCGAGAAAAGATCGCACTTGCAGTGTAGCCATGAGTAGCATCCATCGCACTGTAGCGCAGCCACTCACTCGAGCACTGGCTGGTGACAGCGGGGGCAGATGGGCCGCAATGCAGGTCAAGGATTTGGCAGTACATCACCAGCGAGGAGGAGCAGCCAGGTGATGGGAGGCTGCTGGAGGGAGTTTGCACCGTAACCTCGAGCCAGTTGCGTGAGCTTCACAGTAGGCCTAGCATCGATGCCGACAGAACCAAGAGAACGAGTGTGAGCAGCCGCAATATGAAGCTTGGGTGAGGTGCTCACGGGCCCCCGATGCGGCAGGAGATTGTTGACGAAGCGCCACAATTACTACGAAATAGAGCAAGAGTCAGACATGCACAAAGACGTGGCCGCACCCCATGTTGCGTGCTCTACAACGGTGTGCCGGTAGGTTTTAGTGCCGATGGCTAACAAGTAAACACAAGTGCAAAAAACCATGCTCCCATACCTTCTTCGTTAGCCGTCGCAACTCTTAAAACGTCTTGAGTGCTTCCTGAAAAAACAAAAATATTGCGGCCTCAATTTGGAATTGAAGAAGAGGGCCCAACTGTTAACATTCAGCTGGAGCACATGGCCTTGGCTACACCTCAGGAATGGGGCCCGGCAACTCGTGTCACACCATAGGCCCGGTACCCAAAGTCCGAACTTTGAA